CACGCCGTGATGTCATTCAGGTCGCTGTGCACATGTAAACAAGGCTGGTGCGGTGCAGCCGGGACACTCCACTTCCTCCTGACAGCACGCTTGCACTTAGCGGGGTTTCTGCCTGAAAAGGTAAGGCTGCTTTTAAGCTCTCTCTTTCTGACCTAGAACCAACGTTACCGAGCCTATGACCTTCCCAACAAAAAAGGTTGCTCTCCTCGGGCTTTTTCTTAGGGGTTGGCTCCTGCCAGGAGGAGATCTGTGGTGCTTTGAGTCTTGAAAAAACAGCCGCCCCCCTCGCGCGCCAATCCTCTGTATGAACACATGGCGGAGTTGAAACGGCGGCCGCATGAAATTGCTGTTAACAGAGAAAGCAAAATGTTACAGCGTGGGCAATTAGTGGTTCTCCAACTGCTCTCCGGTGTCATCGCTCGGCACGATTTCTTTCCTTTGCCTGATTTCTCGGGGAATATCTTTTATTTTGAAATCGTACTTGATGGTAAGGGAAACTTGCAAATCTGTTTTTTCTAACGGTGATTTATATTACCATAAAAAAACCCCTACATGCTGCCTGTCTGTGCCATCCCATGCTTTTTGACTGAATTGCAACAGTGGGAAATGAATATTAGCCAGGGGGACACGACATGACAAAAATAGCAAGATTGCTTGGACTTGTTTTTGTTAATGAGAACCCTGAGGCAGTTTTAATTCAAAACTCAAACTGCAGGTCTGGATTAGAACTTAACTTTGTGGACTGAAGCTTTTAAACTGTACTTTGTGAAAGGTGCTTTGCTGATGGGTTTGCATTTGCTGCAGCTCAGCTCTGCCGGGAGCTCAGCAACGCAAGCAGAGAGGCGCTTTGGCAGTTACGGACGGGATCCATAGCGGGTGGCCCCTGCATCTCAAAGGGCTTAGAGTAGATCAGAAGGGAATCAGATGGAAGGTGAGTCAGTATGTCAAGCTTGGCTTGCTGCAGATGTATGTAGGTGAGGACTTCAGCAGCAGGCTGGAGCAGTAGGATGTGTGAGTAAGAGTGTGATTTTTGTTTGAGGGCACGTTTTCTAGCGTCGGGTGAAAGTGCTGGGCCCTTCCAGTGCGAACATCACCACCCACGGGAAATGCAGCCGTGATGGAAGTCCATCCGCAGGACGGCCCTCATCCAGCCTGGAGCAAGCGCTCCGACAAGGCTGCCAGCGCCCTGCTGCCTGTGCACGCCCTGCTTCTTCAGCTGCCGGAGCTGCAGAAGTGAGAATTAGCCTGGTGTTGCAAAATGAAAACATCTCATCACAACAGATCAGACCATCCAGATCTGCTCTTTTTTTTTTTTTTTTGGTGGAAGAAGAAACCCAGAAAAAGTACCCTTAACTGTAGAACTTTCCACTTCTGACTGGAGGTTTCATATCAAAGCGCGAGTGCCAGAGCGTGAGATGTTCACGGCCATGCGATGAGGGCAGAGCGTAGAGGCATTCGTGTCTTAATCAAATCAATTAACCCCATCTGCTGATGGGCCAGCAAGAGCCAGGACTCTGGAATGACGTTCCTGTGCTTCTCAGTCCTATCAAGATGAACATCTTTCTCCTGGAAATGCCACGATTCGTTTCCCATTGTCCAGCTACAAGTAATAATGTGCACCCTTAATTACGTCCTTATTGCGACAGCCTCAGAAATACAGACTCTAATTACAACGTAAAAACCAGTACCTAGATAACCGTGTATTTACTTAGTACCGATTTTTTTGAAGTTTCATATTCTGAAAACAATGTTTTAGGTGGAGCTGTCTCCCTGCAACATGTAGATAAGCAGCGACAAAATCTGATGGAGCTTTTCAGGCTTCTGCCTTTGCTGTACACGCCTCATGCAGCAAATGGCTTTGCTTTTGTTAGCTGCTTTGGAGACCTCATTTCAGAGCGGCGGTCGGTGGTATCTCAGTGCGCCTGCTTTTGCACACAGGTGGGAAGATAAGGGGACGGCGTAGGATTAAGCTTCAAGCTGAAGAAGAGAAGCGGGAGGAAGGGCGGAAATGCGACTGTTTTGCAGTCCCCTGTGCATGTGCCTGGCTGCATTTTGTCTGAAGAGATGGTTTAACCCCAGTGTATTTGTATGACTTTGTAATGAAGTCATTCTCAGAAAGCGCCCGGTTCCGATGAGCCAGCAGACATCACCCGGGTATATATCAACTGTGTCAACACTTTCGCACTGCCAGCCAGGTCACCCTGCTCTGTCCTCTTCATTGCCAGCCGCCTGACCGTGAGTTCTCCGAAGGCAGAGGCGTTTTCTGGCTCCACAGGCCACACATCTCCTGGTCATCAATCACGGCGTCGCATTGGCTGGGGGTGGTGGGGATGGGACATCACCTGCATTTCCACAGGTTGGGTTTTATAACCTTTTGGCTCCAAGGTTCAAAGCAGCTCCATGGTCTCCACCAAAGTGTAACTTTTCAGGACTCTTCTACCCGTAAATACCAGCAATAGGAGGACTACTCCTGGGGGCATTTTTTTTTTTCCCTAATCTCAGTTATTCAGCAACACAAGAGTTTTTCAATTTGGGATCACCCTAGAAGGTAGCAACACAAACTCCTGAGAACATAGTCGCTCCACCGCCTCTGCTTCCAGCCCTAGTCCCTTGGGGGTTAGAAAAATACCTTAGAGAGGAGAGCAAAGAAATGAAATCTTGATTAACTCTGACACCTTGTGGACAATTAGCAGATGAAGATGAAGGCGGAGGGGGAACCTCTCCATGCTGTGGGCTCCACTCTGGTCTCAGGCATGCTGCAACCCTTGCAGCCCCGTGCTCGCCTGCACGCCTGGGTGCAGCGTGCTGCGATCAGAAAGCGAAGGCTGAATCCTGGTGTCAAGTGTGTGCATTCAGCATCGCCCTCGTGTCCCAGCAGTCACATCCTGGACATCTCGGTTTACCCTAAATGGCCCCATTCAGAGGCCAACTTTGAGTCAGCAGCCTGAGCTTGATTATTCTGATTGCTGACGGTGCGGTCTGGTCCTGAGCTGTCGCATGAAATGTAAATAAGGGCCAACTGTATCTAGGGACCTCGGTAAGCAAACTGTCTGTATGACTCATTTGAACTGAAGAACACATGTCCACTGGCCAGCATTTAAATAAGAGCGTGTCCTTAAAATAGAACATTTTGCAAATACACCTAATCCTCCGTGGTTTCAATGGCCAACTAGTGCTCATGGAGGAGCACCAGCCAGTCAGCCTAACCTTGACACCCAAGGGAAACCAGACAGCTAGTAACTTTGAAAGTGGCTCTTTAATGGCTTCTTGGCAAAGTGAGGGGTCACCTGATGGAACAGAAATTGGGTGCAGCGAGCAGTGGCTCTTACTGGAGACAAGGGCAGCAGACAGCACACCCAGCTGGAGCTGCAGGCAAACCAGATGGAAAGGGATGACAAACATCCCACTCCAGAAGTCTACAGCACTCTCAAGAAATGGGATGTAACCCATTTCGACCCAATCCAACGTTGATTGCTCAGGTCGGTGGCCATCAGGCCATGGGCCAGATGCACCTTTCCCCCTCAGAGTCCTCTGAGCCTTCTACCCTTCTCATGGGCACGTTCTGGCCTTGTGATAGGAGCAAGGCTGTGGTGTCCGGGGATGGGGGCAGTGGGGGACACCCCACCGTGGTGGAGAGCATCTTGTCCCTGCCTTGGGGTGAGGGTTACTGGGAGTGAACTGCAGACTGGAGGGATTGCCCTGGAGGATCCAAGCCAGCCTGGGAGGTGTGGTCCGAGGCACCTGGCCTTGTGCCATCTTAGTGAAGGAAGGGGATTAGGTAGAGGGTTTCTCAACTGCAGCATTTCTTTGAATTTCGGTGCAACTGCAGGATGTAGCCCAGTTGCTAAAGCTGAGGGTGCTGCAGGAGATAAACATGCAGACCTTGCTTTTTGAAGGGTGTGAGAAAATGAAAGATAAGTTTAAAAAGAAAAGCAAGAAAGCTGGCAGCAGCATCTGTTTAGTGAGCTGGCAGGAGCTGTGGTTAGGTGGCCCTGCTCACCATCAGCATCAGCCAGAGCCACTGAACCCGCGGCGAGGGTGGCCTGCGTCCCATGCTGGGACCTTGCCATGTCTGGGCACTTTTGGGGCCTGAGTTACAACCCTTCCATAAGCAGCCTTGACCAGTGTCTGTACTGACCACCGAGTCCAAGTACCAAGTACCTGATCTAGTTAGCAGTGTCCTGATCTAGTTAGCGGTGTCCCTGCTCCCTGCAGGGGGGTTGGACTAGATGACCTCTAGGGGTCCCTTCCAATCCAAAACGTTCTATGATTCTACCACAACAAATAACAAGCTGAAAAAACCAGCTGTTTGTGTTCTTTGTCACTTGAGAGCTCTAAATACTGCTCTGGTCTTGTAACACGGAGGGGAAAAAACCCATTAGTGACAGGGTACGAGTTACTAATATCTACCTAACGGAGACACTTTTTCTGGCAAATGTCTCTTGCCAGTGGTGCAAGAAATGAGTCAGAAGGAATGAATCAGTGTCTGCAGTGCCCCACGAAATAGGAAGCTGATACTAAATTTTAACTGTTGTATTAGACACGGGAGGGAATCGCTGTAATGAGAGTTATAACCCTATGGGGAAATACCCCATAAAACCAAACTCCTCCTGCCTGTGCTGCCTCACTGAAGACAAGTCCCAGTTACAAAAGTTGACAAAAAAAAGATGGCCCAACAGTTCAACATGTGACATTTTGCCATCCCTACTCATCTGAATCAAAGGAGAGCCAGAAAATGGAAGCACCTAAAAATAAAATGATCTGATGGAAAAAAGTGTTAAACCAAGGGCTGCTAGGGTGATGAGAAATGGAAGTTGGTGATCTGATTAGGAATCCACTTGTTACATTAGCTTAAAGACATGGCAGCACGCTTCAGGAGCACCCACAGCCCTTAAACCAAACTTCTCTTAAACCAAAGCCCCCTCCCTGCCACCCTTCTCCGCATGGCCTGTCCCCATCATGTCAGAGAAGGCGGGTCCATGAGGTCTACTGATGGGGCCAGGAGACACGCCACCCGTGCAACGCCTAGCATTTAACTTGATGGCAGGGATGATGCAGTGGTTGGCACCCACGTTTTGGTTGTTGAGCCACGTGGTTGCTCACATGCAGAAGCTGGGCTGTGGCACGCCTTCCTTCCATGTATTCCTCCCCTGCCACCCAGAGACCAAACCACAGGTGACCTTGAGCTGTCAAAAGGATAGGCAGCTCCTCCTACTCCTCTATTAGCAGTATGGCACAGCTTCACCCCTGCTTCTGGCACTCAGACAGCCCAGCAAGGGGACTGACACACCAGAAATGGTCCCCCACCTCTGCATGAATAGTGGGAGACCTCTGAAAGGGCAGATTTGAAGAAGGTAGCAGGATGTTTTATACAGAAGACATTTCCAAACCTCTGCTTTGTACTGAGTAGTCAAATGGGAAACACAAATGTGAATATCGATAACTCTTGCCATGCCTTTGCCTTTACAGTCCCTGGTTTTGTTCCCTACAGGAATGACCCACCCACCCTACACCACAACAGATGTTTCCAGCAGCCCAGTCATGACGCAGAGCAACCAGACCTGCTCCAATCACAATATAACGTTCAAAAACAGCCTGTACGCAACCACTTACACCATCATATTCATCCCCGGCCTCCTGGCCAACAGCGCTGCCCTATGGGTCTTGTGCCGCTTCATCAGCAAGAAGAGCAAAGCCGTCATCTTCATGATCAACCTGGCTGCGGCCGACCTGGCTCACGTCCTCTCGTTGCCACTGCGAATATACTATTATATTAACTCCACGTGGCCTTTTGGGAAACCCCTTTGCTTGCTGTGTTTCTACCTGAAGTACCTCAACATGTATGCCAGCATCTGCTTCCTCACCTGCATCAGCATTCAGAGGTATTTCTTCTTGTATCAGCCCTTCAGAGCCAAGGACTGGAAGCGGCGGTACGACATGGCCATCAGCGCTGCGGTGTGGCTCGTTGTTGGGGTGGCATGCTTGCCGTTCCCCATCATGCGCAGCTACGGCCTGAACGACAACACAACTACCTGCTTTGCAGATCTTCATGTCCGGCCGATCGACAGCAAGGCGGCCACCGTGCTGATGATGGGCACGGCGGAGCTCTTCGGGTTCATCGGTCCTCTCATAGTTATTTTGTTCTGTACTTGGAAAACGAAAGACTCTCTTCGGGGCTTCCAGTTGCCGCTGGAAAACAGCAGCGAGAGGCGGAAAGCTTTAAGGATGGTTTCCATGTGTGCCATTGTGTTCTGCGTCTGTTTTGCACCATACCACATCAACTTCTTTTTCTACATGTTGGTGAAAGAAAATGTCATTACAGACTGCTTCCTGAGTACCATCACACTCTACACCCAACCCTTCTGCTTAAGTCTTGCAAGTCTGGACTGCTGTTTGGATCCAATCCTGTATTTTTTTATGACTTCAGAGTTTCAGGACCAGATATCAAGGCACAGCAGCTTGGTCATCAGGAGTCGGCTCATGAGCAAAGAGAGTGGCTCATCAGTTAAGGAATGACAAGAAAGCCAGCTTAAAAGAATGAAGATATTTCATATGAAACCTGGGACTGACTGTTCTGTGATACTCGATTACCAACTCCACGTGGAAGATCCTGCAAGTTTATTTGGGGGAGTTTTGTGGCAGTGGAAATCTCTCGATATATAGAAGATAAAACCGTTTGTAGGACCAATGTGTTGGGAGCTGATGAGCAATGCAACTGGTGCAACTACACCTACCGCTGTGCCACCCACGCCTGACCTAGCTGGACTAGAATATATACAAAGGGAGCGACAATATTTTTGCTGGGAAGTGGAAACATCCCAGGAGCTTTTCTTCTATTTTCCCAATGCCACGGCTCTATGATCAAGCCAAAGACAATCCCACATCCATACGCTGACACCTGCAAGTGTCATCTCTGCTAAAAACATGCAAAACATACAAGAATCTGAAAATGGCCAGTAATAATAAATGGCAGGTTTGGTCTATGCAGTCCGGGCTGCAGATGCATGGAGGTTGGCAGCTTGCTTCAGCGCGGCAGCCCCGGCTTTGAGCGCATCCCACTGGTCACCACTCACCTCCACTTCACCTTCCCGGAGCTCCCCCTCCCATTCTTGTTCATTATTTCCTCCTCACCCAGCTCTAAGTTTGCTCCTTAATTGCTGATGCATTGCCTAACGTGCACCCACAGCTGCTGCGAGACCCTTCTGCAGGACCGATCCTCCCGACAGCTCCCTAAACACTCCAGAGAGTGGGACCTTCCCTTGCCCCAAGTGACTTTCTTCCACTCCGAGCTGCCCCCAGGGGCAAGAGGTGCATCAGCCTTCGCCGTTGGACACCGAGGGGCAGGACCACCAGGAGTGCACCGGGAGATGGGCGCAGCCAGACTCAGACTCGGTGCAGGTGGATTGGATGATGCTGGTGGTACCGTTCAGGTCCTCGCTCTCCTCTGCATGCAGCTTCTCCACCTCAGAGGTACCTGTGATGGATCCTCCCCGTCAAACCTCGGCTCAATGGGTTCAACTGGCAAAACTTTTTACAAGGAGAGGTGCCCTTGCCAAGGTGATTGCCCTAATTGAGCATAGGCTAATTTCTTAAGTAAATTATTCAGTGTGATTTTTTCCCACCAGCTCCTCTCGTGATCTTAGTGTTTACATTTTTATGACTTCACCAGCTATGAAGATACGAAAAGCAGTGACAAGAAAGGATGCCATTTATCCCTTGTTTTAAATTAGTGACAGCTCTCCGGCCAAGGTAACCCACTTTGTGTAACTTCAAGGGTACCCTCATGATACCTGGGGATTGTTTTGGCTGAACACAGGCACTGATTTATTGCCTTTGAAAACCTGTGTTCTTCCAAAAGGAATGCATACAATTCCCAGTAAGCAGCAGTGCCAGCATCACATGTTGCTACAAAAATAGCAGAAATACCAGAAACGCTTGCTAGGTATATTTTAAGTCTAACTGCTCAATTCCACTTAATTACATGTTAAGTCAGCCAAAAATTTTCTGCATATTATGTTTTCCCACTTGACTGTTTTACAATAAAATGGGAAAAAGCAAACAATAGCCAGGTTTAAATAACCATTGCGCTGGAGTTCCTTGAAAAGGCAGCGAAGACGTTCTGGTTTAATGCAAGAAGCTCGTGTTGTTCTCCTCCCGTTTGCGAGAAGACGATTCTGAGCGCAGTACGATGAACTTATCTTCCATGTAGATACGTGAAAATACCAAAATATGCCTATCTGGAGGAAGTAACTTCCATGGAGAGAGCGTTATTATTGCAGGCTTCCGGCGAGAAAGCTGCAGAGTAGGCAAGCGGTCCCTCTCCCGCTGAAGTCAACGGAAGTGTTTTCTCCCACTGGACTGGCAGCTCCTTACGCCGATGACGTGCCTACACCTTTGCACACTGCAAGCATCCCCTTAAAAACATGAGCGAGGGTTGAGGCTCAGGTACCCAGTTAAGCAGGCGTAACGACATTTCTGTCAATTTAGCAGTTTTCTCATAAGCTAGACCCTGTACAATATTGTCAGTGAAGGAGACTTTAGTTTCTGTGTTTGCTTTGAGGATTTTTGCGGACCTTGATCAGCTAGCAGGCAGCTGGGACCTGTTTACTGTGATTTCTTTCTCATAGAGTTCTCCATTTATCGGGTGAAAACAAGTTAAAGGCACTGTTACGGTAACTATGTAGCTTGTCCTACATTTTCCTTTCCAAAACCTGATGCTTAAAAAATAAATGCATTTTTGCAAACATAGGCAGAGTTTCATAGCTATGACTTATACCTAGAAAACGGGGATCAGCTCCTCCTTGAATCAAGGAGTTCAAGGGATGGAGCGCATCAACATTTGTTATTCTTAAACAGATCGTTTGCTTGTCTACAGAAAGGTTCCAGCCCATTCTAATACAACTGGTGTTTATGGTTTTTTTTAACTACAACACTTGCATTAGATTTAGGGGTACTTTGGGGAGAGAAAGGGCCTCCATGGCAATAGCTGTGTGGTGTGTGACCAGCGAGGAGGAGCGACTGCCGTCATCCTTATGTGCAGGCAGGACCACAGAAACCATCTCTCGATATCTCATCCAACAATCATTTCGCAGATCCAAATCTATAAGGCTTAAAAAAGCACTCACACCATTTACGACAAGACCGGTAAAACAGAAATCGGTATTTGTTGTCCCCTATGTACTGGAAGTTAGAACGTGGCCCCAGCAGGGGAATACCTGCTTCACCATCTGAAGGTCCAAAGAGTGATGGTGGCTCTCCCCCCCTTAACCTTAACAAGGAATTTGGTGGCTCCATTGAGGGATTACTCTCCCCATCACCATGACTTCATCACCACATGTGTTGCTCATGCTCCCCCCCCACCTCCCTGCCTCACTCGCCCTCTGAACTCCCTTAGACCCCCCCCAAATGCTCTTCTGTACACTGCAGCCCCAGCCTACGAGGAAAAGTCACACGCTCAACACTTTCAGCCTTTCAAGTCAGGTCACTTTGATGTGCAGGTTAGACAGCTCGGTCTACTGGTCTCTTCTGGTGTGTGAGAAAGCATACTGGTTTGGGCTGGGATAGAGTTAAAATGGCTGTGTGGTGCTTAGCTGCTGGATGGGGTTGAACCACGACAGACAGCCAACAGGGTCACGATGGTGAGCTAGCCCGGAGATCAACAGTGCAAAGTAAAAAGAGATCAAGGAAAACTTGTCATTTTCTTACAGCATGTAGAAAGTCAAAGACCATCAATTTGGCCTCCACAAACCCACGTGTGAAACTCAAAGCCTTTAGTTCAAGTGCTCCAAAACCTCAGCAGTGTGTCTCGAGAAGAACAGACCTTATGACTGCCGAGGAGGACAGTATCTCGTCCGCCTTTGTGGCTGGGAGGTGCTGGATCCGACACGAGACCTGGGGCTGCAGGTGCTGGCATTGCCTGCCAGCGATCTCACGCTTTCAAAGGCACAATGTGCCCAGCTCCAGTTCCTGTAATTCACCCCCTTTCCTGTGCCCATAAAACATGTTTATTATTTTGTCAAGAGGAAATATAATTTCATGCTGATGTTGCTCCTGGATTATCTCTTGTGCTAGTCCCACTGCCCAGGCTCACCAGCTATAAAAAGACGACAGCTTCATCCTTCTTGGGCTGACACACACACACACACACACACAAAGTCTTTCAACAGAGATGCCACAGAAAGGCAGGAGTTAATGGAATCAAGAGGCTGGGTACAGCCACACAGGTTTGTGAAGGAGGGACCTGAAGGGCTCCCCAGACACCTGGTGCTGGAGCAACCCTGCATCAAACCTCAACCCAAAGGGAACTGGTCAAGGTGGAAACACGGCGTGGTCTCCAAGCCACCCGCACCGACAGCGGTGCACATCCCCGGACGGCACGCCCTGGGCAAAACCAGGGCATGGCATGTCCTCCTTCTCTAGCACGTGAGCCATTCGCCTGTTAGCGAGAGAAAATGTGCTGCTGTGCAGCACCAGCAAATGGCCACCCCATCCTAACTGGTATCAGAGGTCTGGTAATTCCTCTCCTTCTTGAGAAAGGGCCCTCCCGTGCTTGACAGCAAATGTATTTGGAAAGAAACCCCATGGGATTTAATGCCTTTCTGCAACCTCAGGTTCTGAGCTGCCGGATCTTGCGAGTACTGCAGCTTTGTTTTCTTCCTCAAATGAAATTACCAGCTCTCTGTGCAGAGAGAAAACAAAAGAAGCTGTAAATGCAGGATAACAGCTCAACAACTAGGAGCCAGCTCAAAAATATGAAAGCCCTTCATTGCATTTAACAGATTTTGGGGCTGTGACTGGTGCATTTTCACCAAAACCGCTGTGTCTGTGGATTACGCAAAGGGCTTAGCCCCAAAAGGTAGGGAGCGACCGACAATTGTTTGCTGTAAAATAAATGAAAGCTTCCTAAAAATGCTGCCCCTGTAGAGACGATTGCAGTGGCGAGAGGAACCGTGTGCCGCAGGGCACCGGGGGCTCACCCAGCCCCACCGGCCACAGGCCAACGAGGCAAGTCCCTGCACTAGGGTGAGCTGCTTTGTGTGAGCAAGCCCTCCTCCTCCCGACCGGCCCTGTTTTTCATACATCCTTCAGGTGCATCCTGTCAGATATTTCTAAATGCCGAGCGCTTAAAGAGATGCTGATCGTATGCATTTGGCCTTCTGCCCACAGGATACCAGGCTAAAGGCGAAGACAACCTTTATCTGGAGGCCTTAGATAAGGTCTCACAGTTATTTAAAAATTCCTTTGTGTCTTCTGCCTTGGAAAGTAGAACATTGCACAGGGTAAAATGCATGGTTAGCATCGGTAGTGAGCCAGAGGAGCAGAAACGCTAAACAAAAATATGCATGCAGTTGAAAGAGGAATGGAGAGGTTGATTAATATATGTTGAAGGAAAAGGCTTGAGGCTTGTCAGTCCATCAGCCTTTCATGACCAGGAAGGTAGTGATCTTCTGCAAAAGTGCTCCAAAAAGCCAATGAGTGGAGGAAGGACTCGATGTGGTTATGAACCCCAAGGTGGGAGTCCAACCCTCGCTATGGTCCGACACCCACTGACCTCTCCTTCCCCAGCAGCCCTGCTGTAAACACAAACCTAAAAATAGGGCTCAGAGATGGCTGGATACGATGCTGGATGTGTGCTGGACACAGAAGTAGGATGTCCTAGGCAGGATATCCTGATAAAACAGCCACTTTGGGATGAACCTTTAACCTGTGGAGAGGGACGGGGCGCCGTGCCAGCCTCCCTTCTGCAAACGTGTGAAGGTTTTGCAAACACATGAGGACTGTTCTTTCTTCTGAGGATCAGCATCAGCTGCTGAAAAAGATGCACAAGAAGAAGACCTGGAATGATAAACAGCTTCTGCATCTTCCAAATCACTTTGCTGCCAGCTGAGGCAAGAAGTGTGGGGCTTCACAGGTTCTTATTTGCTATCAGGCTATGTTTGCATGCTGGGTAAGCAAGGGGTAATGAAGAAGTCCACAGATATGTCTATAAACTGGTTCATGAAAGGCAGGTCCTGCTTGACCAACCTGATCTCCTTCTATGACCAGGTGACCCACCTAGTGGATGAGGGAAAGGCCATGGATGTTCTCTACCTGGACTTTAGCAAGGCCTTTGACACTGTCCCCCACAGCATTCTCCTAGAGAAGCTGGAAGCTCATGGCTCAGACAGGAAAGAAACCCTCTGGATGTCCGATCCCATAGAGTTGTGGTCAACGGAGTTAAATCCAGTCGGCGGCTGGTCACAAGCAGTGTCCCCCAGGGCTCAGTTCTGTTTAACGTCTTCATCCTTGCTTGAAGAAGGACCTGGAGGGGCTGGAGTGTGTCCAGAGAAGGGCAACGGAGCTGGGGAGGGTTCTTGAGCCCATCTCCCAGGGAACAGGCGATGGGACTAGGGAAACAGCCTCAAGTTGTGCCGGGGAGGTTTAGGTTGGACATTGGGAAAAATTTCTTCCCTGAAGGAGTGGTCAAGCATTGGAACAGGCTGCCCAGGGAAGTGGTAGAGTCACCATGCCTGGATGAGTTAAAAAAAGGTGTAGCTGTGGCACTTCAGGACATGGTTTAGTAGGCAGAGTGGTGTTTGGTTGATGGTTGGACTTGATGATCGTGGAGGCCCTTTTCCAATCTTAATGATTCTGTGGTTCTAAAGGCTGGTGTATAAACTGTTTATAAACTTGCCTTTACCTTCATGAGGGTGAACAGATTTTGGTAACTGCATCTCCACTGACCACAGGACACTTCAGGTCAAGGATCCTCTTCTCCGTTCTCAATGCTACTCTTGTGAAGCACCACTTCACAGCACGGGAACGCACTCAGGTCCCCGTGGTCAGCATCGCTGCCAGCACGGAGAAACCCTGGCACTCGTGCAGCCGGCAGAGCCAGCGGGCTCCGATGCCGTGGGGAAAGATGCACGCTCGATCCCAGAGCCTGCGCTGGCGACTTATTCTGCAGCTGAAGGCGATAATAGCTTCCTCCTTTCATTTCTCTTCCACAGTTACATTTCTGCTAATTTTGCAGGGTCATAGGACTAATTACAGAAACTATATGAATAGAGCAAGAACAGTTCTATTTATACATTACCCGGGGTAAGAAAGGGAAAGAAGCCAACCGCCGTGTTGTCTTCCCAAGCCCTGGGCCGTAAGATGCGATGCTGCGTATCGACTAAAACGGTTCAGCTGGAAATGAGGCAGCTCGGAATAAGCGACACTGAAATACGCGCCCGCCGGTTTGCAGCAACTCAGAAAGACGACAGTACTTAGCCGGCAGTAAAAAACCCTAAAAATTATATATCTATGCGTGTATATATATGGGAAAGGAATTAAAGGAGGCAAAAAAAGAAATCAGGAATGATGCACATTATGGGTGGTTTGTTTTTTTTTTTAAACAACAGTATTTTGGGAAAGTCTCCACCTTAAACCATCCTATTATTGCAGAAATAAAGCCAAACCCTTGGCTTTAGCATATAGCTTTGATAGTCTGAGGCTAACCAGGCTTCCAAGAAAAGGAAAGAAAATTACTTCCTTTCAGCAACTTACACTGGCACAGTTTTCAGTTTTCCTTTAGCAAGGAAGGTTTTGCCTTCTGTATTTTATAGTTTTTTAGCAAGCAAATGGCAAGTGGCTGTGCCTCAAAGCAGCAGCAGCTCGGCCGAAGGACACCATCACCTAACGCGACTTCTGTGCAAAGAAAAATTAAAAAAATAAATAAATCTGCGTCTGAGGTCTCCATCGCACGGCAGCCGGATCGAACGACGTCATCGCCTTCCCAGTTGTTTTAGCGTCATTAGCCGTCCTCGGTTTATGCAGCGAGGAGAATTAAAATACAGGATTTCCTGTTCGCCAGCCACCGTACGGGGCTGCAGATGCCGGCAGGATTCCAGCGCTCCGAAAACATGTGGAAGTTTAACAAGAAGTCACCG